GGCTGGGACTGGAACTGCACCAAAGGGGAGGCTGTGTCTCTGTGAGGCTGTCATTGGGTTTGTGACTGGGTTGGTTGTTGCTATCATTGTTGCTACTTGTTTCACCTTGTTATACATATTAGTAAAAACTGTTATTCCCTTTTCCCCATATTCTTGCCTGAAAGCCCGTGATTTTCAAAGCTATAATAATTCGGAGGGAAGGGGGGGGGCCATATCCACCACTACAAGGGGGGTCCCTGCCTTCATTGGCAAAACATCTGTCTTTCAAACCAAGACACTCCTCCCTGACCCTGCAGAAAATTCCTGGTCAGAAGCAAGTAAACCTCTCCGCAGCAGGAAAGTGCTAGTCTACTTTGTCAGTTCAGTAGCTGTCAGCTCAGTTTCATCATTAAAAGAAACTTTCATCTAAATTCATGCAGATCATCATTTCTCTCCAAAATATCTCCAGGAAATCAAAAAAGATCGTCTAGCCATTGCCTGTTTAGATGAAACAATGACTATAAGGAGACACAGATTCCATGATGCTTCCATGACCTTCTGCAAAAGTTCCTCACAAACAGGGGAACGACAATAGATAATGGTGAAACAAAGACTCAGGAAGGTTCTGACTTCACATCACACAAAACTTTCCCCCACAAGGAATAAGGACACAGAGAAATTGTCCTTGTAGGCTTGCAAGACCTGCTTGGGCAACACCAGGTTGTGTTGTACTGATTCAAATTCAGGGCTGGCCTTGACAGCACAAGGTCAGCCTACAGAATCCTGAGGTGCCTTTCTGCTGGAACAATGATGATTTTAGCATTACAGGCATTTCAGTCGTCTTTCAAGATTTAAAAGACCATTGATACTAGTCACCTTAGATTAGATCATCATACTCCTACAGCTTTTCTTCTCAAAGTTATTTGCATCTGTCTTGTTTGCACGTAAACCACACACTGGCATCATCAGGTAATTGGCAGAACTCTATTCTTTCCCCAGTATTCCCTGGAAAGTACAGGGTGCAGCATAGTTTATGCACATCCTGTATGTACATAAGCACACACAGAGGGCACATGAACTAGCTCCCCAGTCACCCACTTTCGTGATCTGTCTCAGAAGTGGCCTGACGTACTTATACAGCATTGCAATTAATCTTGTAATTCAACAGGGATTTGTAAGCAAGTTATGTGCAGCAAGAATAGATAATCTAATCAGTGATTCCAACAGCTTTGCAGGATTCCACAGTAATACATTCAGCAGAGGCAGAGTGAGAATGAGGATTGCTTAGCCATTATAGCATGCTCTAATCCATTCCAGTCAGGAACACACTTGCTCCAACTCAGAGAGGGGGTGGACATGTGGCAATGGGTCCCAGTATTGTCATCTCCTGGAAGACCTATTCAGTGATTTTCAACATGGTCAGAGCACTCTGGACCACAACTCAAAATAACTTCTTGGCACCAGTTCATGTAGCTCTGTGCAATCTGTGCTTTCAAGACTAGTTTTTAGGCTCCATCCTATCCACAGAGGTGGAAAATGTATTGGGGACAGAAGATGAGATCTAACAAAAGTTAGTCTTTAATTGAGGTAGCATGCTAGAGAACTTTCATCTGTTCTATTAGGTAATGCCATGACATGAAAAGACTGCTGTTCAAAGCATCTTTTAATACCAGATTTTTGTAATATAAATTCTTGATGGTCAAAGTCTATGAGGTTGAAATGAGTTAAATTAAGCTGTGAAAGCCAACACCCTGTGACAAATCTTTACAGGAGGTGTCATTGACAGAACAGKACCGGACATGGGAAAGTTATAAAACCTCCTAAGCAATTAAAACCACTGAGCTGAAAGCACCCACTAAAATGTAAGAGGCCTAAACAGGCAGAAACAATGGTGCAAGCATAAAGGAGACATACTAACCATACATTGAGCACTTATCCCCATCAAGTCTCCTGTACCCTTTACATTTTCATTCTTGTACGAACAAGGATGTTTCAATATGTAACACTATTGCTTTTGTCCATCACCCATTATTTCAATGGCAGTCAGCAGCAGTAGATCAGTATCTGATCTAAATGGCTGAAAGACTTGGACAAATGCATGAACAATTTGGGTAGGCTTGTGCACGTTCAATTATCAGGCAATAAAGTTATTCCCAGCACTTCATCCCAGAGCAACACTGCTCTGTGTGCACACCCACAGACACCAAAGTCCCTGAAATGTGAGAGACACACTTCATTAGGTACCTTTGTTTTGCAGCTCCCCGCAAATTTTTCACCCAAGAAAGAAGGAAATGGGAAATCTGAACTTACTCTGTTCATTCCCTAGAGGCTGCTCCAACATGGCCAGGATGACACTGTTATCCAAAACAAAGTAACGGAAGCTGTGCTTGTTTATGGTAGGGAGACGGGAATATTTAATTAACGTGGTTTCATTCACCAAGCTGCAAGGAGAAGCAGGACCACTGGGAGAAGGAAATGCTCCAAGTAACTGCATAATGCTGCAAGTGAGAAAAAAGTTGAGAGTTAAGACAGATTAAGTGAACTGTTCCACCCAAGCACAAACTTTCTCTCATATTCTTCATCTATATCTTGACCTAGCAGTTACCTTAGCAGGGCACATCTGTCCTCGCCCAACAGATTGTCTTAAAATAACCAGTACCTTCAAAAAAACATACACAAAAGCTTACAAAGAAGGGTACTCTGCCTATAGAATGAGCTTTATAACCTGGATTTTAAAGACATTAAGACACGCTTTAAACCATGAAAATCTGTACATTTCCATAATTTTATATTCATTCTTAAAAAGATTATTTTCTAATCATCCATACGTTCGCCYTCTCATATCAAAAAGCAGGACAGACATGGCAATGCACTAGTTACCATTGCCTTTGCTTTCTTCAAGTACAGATGACAGTAACTTAAAAGCCTTTAAGAGTTACGACCYTAAAGGTCCAGGATCACACAAGCAAAGCTACCACAGATGGTAACAACCTTCCCTGGAAGAAAGCCTCCAGGTGGGGTCCAACAGTGCCTACCTCCTTGGAGCCACARCCTTAGGAGGCCCCTAGATGCATCATTTTAAATCATCTGAAGTTGCACGGGATCTAATTAACAGAATTAGAAACTGAAAGTTTCTATGGCAGAAAACAGTAATGAGAGTTGTCCAGTGTCAGACTGAAGTTCATATGAGCAAAGTCAGGACTTAACACCAGCACCCAGACCAAAAGGAAGTCAATTGATTGCCCTCCCCCCACACTTTTCCACTTTACTGTGAAAACAGTTTCATCTCTCTAAATGAAAAGAAACACTTTCAGGAAACAATAAGAATTCGTTCACAACTTCCAATGGGTAGTTTCTTAGAAACTACACAGCTGTTTTTACTAACAGTAAACTAACAGTARCATTTAAAACAGTTGGATTTCAAAGCAGAGCAAAAAAGAAAGCAGCTATCGCCTTTTGCAAAACATATTTATCCTCCCCATYCTCAATCTGTCCTGTCTGCCATCATGCTGTTCAGCCCATAACACAGTGCTTTCCAACTTCTCTGGTGCAAATCCCAATTTTCATCTCTGTGTTTCCCCTCACCAACCCACGCATTATCTGTTACTGCATTTTCAGCACAACCTCTCAAATACATTAAGCAAGCCCAATGCTGTGGGCAGGAAGCCATCCCTTCCTGCTTCAGCATAAATGTGCTACATGTGCCATTCCCTGCTGTCACACAGTCTATCAGTTTTCTAATCAGGGTGGGGACAGCATATGCTGTCAGACTGAGGAGTGGGAATGGGAAGACAGCATCACTAAATTAAGTGAAAGAGAGAGGGAACAGGCCTCTGCAGAGAGACCTGGCCAAGAACAGAACACCAGGGCTGGRGGAGGGTCTGGGTTTTGTTGTACAAGGAAGAGAGCAGGCAGGARGGGAAAACAGTGATCAGAGGGATCTGTTTCCTGTTAACACCTGAGAGGGGTGGTGGGGAGATCTAAGGCAGAGCATAGCCCTGYCAAAGGGCAAAGAGAGGGAGCTTCTACCCAACCTCTTAAAAAACACACTTGTTACATCAGAGATCACCAGCTGGGAACTCTGAATTAAACACTCTCAGACAAGACAACATTGAACATTAAAGATGCTCTGATAAATTACATACCACGTTAGTGTAGCTTCAGCAGCATCCTTCACTCGCATGGATGCGGGGTTTGGCTCTTTATCTCCTTTGTATTTGACCTCCTGTTCACTGTTTTTGGATTTACTCCCTGAAATGCCCAGCTCCACAATCTCCAGTACCTCTTTTAAACAATCCTAAAACACAAGAGGAACCACCTTGAAGCAGAAGCACTCAGATAAACATCTTCAAAACCTCAGGGAAACAGTGATGTATCATTAAGTAAAAAAAAAAAAAACTTGCTGGTAATATGAGCTCTTTATTTAAAGGCAGAAGATTATTCCAACACCACTAAAATAAGATCACATTTGCTATAGAAGGGGTATTTTTCTGTTTGTAGCTGTGTACCTATATTGTCTACTTATACTTGGATTCTAATGGTAAAAAATGCTCTGAATGAATAAATACACACAATGTATTTCATTACACATGTACTAAATTGCCAAAAGGACTATTATGAATGCAACTAAAAAATGTAAACATATTTTAAAAGCTAATAAATGCATTTCTGGGACTCTTCACTGAAGTTTTAAGTGCTAAGCACATTAAGAATTAATTTATCTGGAAAACTGCAAGAAATCCTTTTCCAAATTTTTCAATTGCCAATAGCTTTCATTAGTAAATACATCATAGCATCTAATTCACCAAGAGAAGAATAAGAACATTCTAAAAGTACACTGTAAGCTTCAACAAATCTATTACAGGAGAGGCCAACACTCAGTAGAGCCGCAAATATGACTCACAAGTGCTGGGCAGAATAAAATCACCTGCTGAAAATATTTGGATTGCTACAAGAAAAGGTTCAGATCTCACGGCCTGAGCTACAGAATAACAAAGAAAGGCTTCACCTGAGCAAGTAAATGATTAAAACTGAACATGAGTGATCAGGCTGTACCATCAAAAACTAGGCAGGGTTCTACAKCTTGGCCTTTGTCCTTCCTTATATTCTTTGTTGATATAGAATAAAAGGTGAAGAGAAAAATGAACRTTTTCTAACAGAGCAAAATTAACCAGCACTGAGCTGCACAGACTGGCCATGAAGAATTGCAGCAGGAGTTTACAGAGTTGGCTCGCAATACAGCAGGTGAAATTCAAAGCAAATGAAAGGGGAGGCMCCTGGAAAGTTGCATTCATAATACTTGCAAATGCAGGGAAAGGTTCTCATCTGACTATCGTGACTCAGAATGAGCTACTCRGTGTCCAGTACATAATGCACACAGTATTCAACACTATTTCCTTATAGAGGTAATTGAAACAAAGAAGACCATAATAAAATGGAAAAAAAGCTTTATGCAACTGATTAAACACTGCCTGTGCCAAATCCAGGGAACCTATCCTATCATAGTCACGTACTGCCATGCCAGTAGCCCACAGCACATGCAGAAAGCATCTCTGTTTAAAATTCTGCTTGTGGATTTTCCATCTTCATTTTTAAAAAATACATGTATTTTTATATTATAGAATAAACAAAATATAAAGATATGTAATGTTCTAAGAAGATAAAATATTACATAATACATATGTATTATCTATAAAAACACAGAAAGATCACTAAGTTGGCTCTGAACAGAGACCAACAATGAAAACGTGCCTTCAAATTTTTTCTTAATCAGAAGGCAGAAGGCAATTGAAAACATGCCTCTCATTTCCCACTCTTCTCAAACTTACCAAGCAAATTCCACATTATACTGAGCTATGCTTTGCTCAGTTTCTAGAAAGTTGGTTTCTTGGTGAAACAAACTCTGATTATCAAAATATTAGCATCAAAGGAATTCTATTAAGCTTAGAAGATGCTTTATTCAGGAAAGAGGTGAAAAATAGGAGAGTCATGGCTATCTGCAGCAGTTAGCTATGGGTTACCCCATTCATTTTTATATTTCTCTTCTGTTTTTTCCCCAGGTTTCTTTTTTTTGCTCTTCTTCCAGTTTCACAAAGCAARAAGAAAGACTGAGACACTCCTATGATTATAAAGGTAATTTTAAAATAAAAAAAAGTATTGGTGACTAAAGATCAGGAATTAAAATCCAGAAGGTAGTTTTGAAATTCCTAAGAAAGCTAAGCAAGCCACACGATTTTAAAATATTGAGAATAGACAGGTTGGGCACAAAAGGCATTACAGCTGCAGCGCTCCAAATCCATCCACTAGAGGCTGACCTTCTCATCCAGCATGTCGGGGTGCTCTGTGAGCCACACACASAGGCACTGGAAGGCTGCCACGATCATGGAGTGCAGGTCCCGGGAGTGCAGCGGGGCCGGGCGGCTGCACTGGTACACGATGTAGCTGCACACGGAGCTGATTGCGCGCTTCCTGTCCGAGGGATCCACCACCACCTTCACCTGCGTTACACGAGGGCAACAAGGTGAGAATTCCTCCACAAAAAATCTTTCAGAAAAAAAAAAAAAAGCTTTTACAAACATTTCCAAATGCGGTTTTAAGAAACAGGAATAAACAGTTGAGCTCTTTTTTTATTACAGCTTAAAATTGTGGGTAAAATTATTTAATGGTGATAGATATTGAAACTAAAAGTAAAGAAATGCTGCACTGAGGTGTGGCCATATTGCATGGCTTGGTTTCCAAGAGAAGGACTGGTAACAGTGTCGTTTGATAAGAAACCAAATGCAAGTTGAATTTGCAGTATTGAAATTTATTTTTCACAAATGCCTCTTTGTCAGCTCTAGTAACCCATTCTGTATCTCCAAGAACCCACTCACTGCCAAGTCTTCCTTCCACAGGCCTTCATTTTGCTCAAGTAATTTTCCCCTAGACATATTCTCAGCACAGTAACTTCCACCACTAGAAAAAGTGATAAAATCCCCATCCTCAGACAAGCAGACTGACAAAAAACCCATAACCTCTTCCCCAAAACTCCCTGCAAACACCCCTCTCTGCTTCTTTCCCAGTTCAGGGCTGCAGAGAGCAAGGCTCCAGACCAGAGGGTCAGAAAACAGTATAACGAGCCATGAGGATCTGAACTGTTAGGTTAAAGAAATGAATTTCTAYTCTCTCATTCACAGCCTGTGACTCAGCACAGGAACAGATGGATTTTTATATCCTGTAGCATCTGACCATGCTCTGTGAAGCATTACTCACTCAGGTGCACCCTTATCCAAGTAGGAAAATGGATGGRCTTGCTGGAGCCAGCACTGGCTTGTGGAGCCAGGCAGTTGTACTCCAGAAATGGTTCAGAACCCCAGGATTTAAGTAGAACGTCCTGCAGAAGAACAAGATCTACAGCAAATGACTCCTCTCAATGTGAGCTAAGAAAGGCAGGTTTGTGAACCAGCAYTTTTGCAGGAAACACAATTTTTGACTTTTCCAAGTCCCACAAATAACCTGGTGCTGAACAGACACAAGACAGGGCAGCCCCTACCTGAGAAAGGCTTTGGGACTTGTCACCTCCAAAGACACAAGCAGAACAGGTCCCCACTGTAGTTCTGCAGGAAGAGGTGATCTCTTTCTACCCACTTTGTTATAAAGGGGAAAAATATACCAGGGGGAAGAATTACTTCAGTTGCATGAGAATTATACAAAGATTACAATATTTAATATTAACCTGGGGATAAATTTGAAAAGATAAWATATTTCCACATTCCCATAACCCTGCAAGAAAAAAAAMCAGACCAAACCAAACAAATTGTGGCTTCACCACACAAACTGCAGGAACCCCTGGTTTTGTATGGTGCTCTATAAGATCCAATAATACWCATTAATTCACTTCAGAACAATTTCAAATACATTCTTCAGTTCATGCTACTGCAATAATGAATAAACAGTCCAATATAGCTCAGTGCTGACATTATGTTCTAAAAACTTCCTGAGACACACACTTAGAAGAGATSTGTTGAGCTCCTGATAGATTATGATGGGAAATGCTGAATTATCRTGCCAGGGTATCATGGCTGCTCTAAGTACACTGGACTTTTGCTTATACAATGCCCATGAAGTCCAGCCCGGGCATAAGAGCTCTCAGGCAGAAAGAGGCATTTTGCTTCTCAACAACTCTTCTGCCCCACCTACTAGCTTTAGTTGTTATTTGTGYTGAGTGAAGCTGCAGATAAAGCTGTGAAGAAGGCAACACTTCACCTTAGCCATACACAATGTTTTGTCAAGCTCCAAAAACTATGTCCAAAATGAGAAGGAAGGGGAAAAGCAGTACAACACAAGTATCAGCCAAGAGGCATTCCCAGGACAKGTGTCCTTTGTGCCACAGTGCATTTACAGTGGCAGAAAATTATTAACAGCAGGGCTGTTTCATTTCCAAACAGAAAATTCTGGCAAACACAGCCACAGAAATCTGTTTGGTAACATGACTTTCAGCCAGGCATGATTACAACTACCCTGTGAAAAGGGGYCAGAGCACACCACACTGCATTTCTCACCTTTGCCAGTCCAGAGAGCAGTTCCAGGGCAGCCAGAGAGATACTCATGTCCTGTCTCCACTGGGAATTGAGCCTTTGGGTTACCAGGTGAATGCTGCGGATCAGCAATCCAGCAGCTGTATCTGTATGAAGAGCTAGGATATAACCCCAAAACCACACACCACAGGGAGGGAAAATAACTAAGCATTAGTGACAATAAGCAAAGCACAGGCACAAGGCAAAGCAGCCACAATACAGACATAAAATAAACCCTAACCAATCCAGAACCTCGAAACTGGCGCTTTGGCTTTTCGCACAGGCTAATGCCCTCACATACACTCCAGGCATTATACAAACCCATTCAGACTAGCTCCATTTTTTTAAAGACGTTTTGAATAATCCCACAGCTCTGCTGCATTTCTGAAGCAGAACAGCCAGCTTCAGGTTTTGCTATTGTACTTAAATTGCCATCATGTCTTTTAGCCTACAAAAATATAGGCATTGGTAATATACATTAAACATTAGTAGTCGTATTAATGAACTAATGCAGCACATGTAATTTCAGATAACTATGTCAGAACTTTACCATTCTTTCCACATCAAATGTTTACAAAAAGCTGCACTAGTTCAATAGATGTAGATAATGAAATAATCAGTGCTAGGGAAAAAAAATTTAAGCTTTCATTTCCTTGAACCTTCAGCTCAAAATTAAAAATAGAAAATGTCATATCAAATGTTCTCACTTCAAAATATTAACAAACATAAATACTATCTGTACTTGTTAAAACAGAAGTATGCAAAKTAATGACAGAAATAAACTGCTTAATGACTAGTTATAAAGAGATATGAGAACTATGACAGATAGGTATATCCTTCCCAAAATTTAAATTACCCTATTTAATACTCAAGAGCTATGTCCAATGTCACACCAGGTGCAGATTCAAAAGTCTACTAAGGCTAAATAGTAACAGTAGACCATCTTTCAATTTTCTCTTGTTTAAAGCATCCAGTGGAAACACAAATTCTTTTCATAAAATCCTTACAACCTTACCTTCTGTGCATAGGAAATTTAAAAGTCCAATAAAACAAATATACTACAAAAATATATTTCAAGTTATGGCATGATAAGAAGACTCAGTAATTCTAATATTTAGAAGATTTTTTTAAACCTTACAAATTAGTATTTTTACAAGCACTTGTCAGTGAAAACCCATACAAATAAAACACAATTCAAAACAATTCAAAACAATTCAAATGGTGTGCTGAAAACCAGCACTTTGATAATTTGAATCAAGCAAATCCTGTACAGAAAGCACCAAGGTGTTTATACAAATCCCTATAACATACTGAAGACTTTCATGTTAATCTCCCTCCTCTTGCTATTTACAGAACTAGACTAAAAAATACCACCACAGTTTTGGTTGGTGAGGACAGTCCAGGCTACAATACAATAAAGGTGATTTGTTCTCACATTTAATTGGCCAACATCAGTTAAACTGAAGACCAAAGAAGCAAATTAAATTGCAGGATCTTGACAGTCAGCCAGCTTACCACACACAGATTTAGAACATGGATTTTACCACAGAGTCAAAAATGGACAGAACAAGACAGCAAACTAAAGTTAATTACAAAATTCTATTGTTATAACGTACAATGTATCACAAGCATTCTGATCACTTGCTCTATAAAAGTCAGAGTCACTGAAATGTTCTTTAAATGCAGTTTAAGGTGCTGCAGAGGTAAGACAAGCATTTGGAATGTTACCAAAATAAATGATTAATTTACACTTGGTGTACAGATACCCCATTCTTGTTGGCAGAAACTAAATGTCTTGGAAACGTAAGTTAAAGTTTGCTAACACCTTTTTCATAAGCTTTATATATATTCTGATTTTGGATATGTTAACAGTTCTCTTTAGTAGGGTTAAGACAACCACTGGATGGGCACACATGAGCTCAGACTGGCAGCACACAGCTGGGCTATCCTCAAGCTTTAAACACCAGCTTTAAACATGAATGTTTTAGCCAGAACTAGAACAGAAAACCCCAGCAAACACCAACCTGGCACACCATGAGAGGGTTTTCCAAAGAGCTCTCCTTACCATAATCCCTAAGGAGGGCCTGTGCTGGCCGCTCACTGTCGGGTGTCGTGGGCTCTGTGCTGCCGCCGCTCGCAGTGCTAATGCCACTGTTAGTCCGACTGTGGCTTTTGAAGAGGCTGTTTTCACCACCATTCTGCAAATTGAAAGGCAGTTTAGAGAGATGAGAAAATTTCTCAGTTCCCCATGCTCTCAGATACAAAAAAAATCAAACCTCAAGATGCTACCTGAGCCCCTTTCAGTAGCAGGTGTAGTGAGGAGTGTAGTCTTTCTGAAGAATTAAATTCATTTAAAAAAATGCTCACCGTTTCCATCTGACAGCCAATGGCTTCTAACAGTGCTGAATCCTGAACAATATTTAACATTGCACCTGCAGAATCAGATAAAAGAAGGTAACTAYGGACTGCAGCAGAACTTATTACTAAAAATTACCAAGCAGCACAGAAGGTTTAACATACAGGTYTGGCATTCTGATTTATAAAATCTCTTACTAAAACACAGGATTTGCTTCAGGCTTAGCTATTTGAAGCAGATGAAAGTTCAGACAGAGAGTGCTTTCAGCTATTTTAAACATGCTTTGAACACAATCTAGAAAAGACTGAGAGGAGATCTCATCATTACATATTAGTATCTCCAGGGTGGGAGTCCAGAGGATGGTGCCAGACTCAGTTTAGTGGTGTCCAGCAACAGGACAAGGAGCACAAACTAAAATACAAGAAATTCCACCTCAACACAAGGAAAAGCTTCCTTCCAASGAAGGTGGCAGAGCACTAGAACAGGCTGCCCATGGAGGTCACAGAGTCTCCCTCTTTGAGGACATTCAAAACCCACCTGGACAGGTTCCTGTGTCACCTGCTCATGGTGACCCTGTCCTAGCAGGGARTTGGACTGGATGATCACCAGAGGTCTCTTCCAGCCCCAACTTTCTGTGATAKGTCTGTCAAATTCCTCAGTTTGGAACGATTTTGGGTTCACAGAAGGGCTGGAGTGGTTTGTTTCACACCAGATTGTGCTAATTTAAAAATTCAGGTAATATTTAAGGATATCTATCAGAAAGACAGTTCATAATCTGAGGTGGGACACATTGAAATTCCCTCCATCTGGAAGTCCTCTCCTCTCATTTTCCATGCTCTAATTCCCATCAGTGCCCAAAATACTGTATTCAAAAAGCTAARGCTCTTAACAGCAGGAGTTGCCAACCCCACTGCATCCAAGCTAGCCAGGACTGTTCGTCTTCAGCCTTGGGAAAGATTTAAATCCAACTCACCCAAATCAAAATTGATTGTGTCTTAGGCAAACTATGGTGAACAGCCTGTACCTGCTTGGCAGCATCACCTCCAAATGATGAGGGAAGAAGCAATAAGGACATGGACCTGAAACTGGCTGACACTGACATTTGGTGGCATTATTTTTAATTTTCTGTCTCCCTCCCAGCCTCATCCATCAGTGAACGTTTAGGAAAACAACTTGCTCTATGAAGTAAAATGACAGGACAAGGGGGAATGTTTTCACACTGAGAGATGGCAAGGTGAAGTGGGATGCTGGGAAGAGATTCTTCCCTATGAACATGATGAGGCCCTGGCACAGGTTGCCCAGAGAAGCTGTGGCTGACCCATCCCCAGAAGGGTCCAAAGCCAGGCTGAACAGGGCTTGGAGCAAGCTGGGAAAGTGGAAGGTGTCCTTGCCCAGGGCAGGGGGCTGGAATGACATGAGCTTTAAGGTCCCTTCCAATCCAAACCACTCTGTGATTCTATGAAATGCACCACTCACTGCCARCATTTACTGGCAGATGGAAACAAACCCTGGTTTTGTTGAGAAGCTGGTGGCACACGTGAGAATTTCTAGCTAAACTGGAGATTCATGAACCGCCTTTAGCTAAAGCCAGCAGGAAATAACTTCACATATGGAAACAGGAGTTTAAGAGGAAGAATACAAAGCAGGTGAACTAGCAGGGACTAGCAAGGGAATAATAACTTCCAGTAGAAAAGCCATTCAAGCCAGCACATCTACCCAGCTGGCTGCACACCAGCTTGCTGTGGAGGGGCACAGGACCACATAGGTGGAATTGAACAGAGCATCACTCCATGGTGCCAGACACAGTGCTGGAGGTGGGACAACTCTCTGTGCACCAATGCTCTGAGGGTCTCACTTGGAAACCACAGATATCCTCACCCCTTCACCAACACTGGGTGTAAACCATTCTTTCAAATTAATCCCCTCTAGTCTTCTGCTAGAAAAGGAACTGTTCCAACTACTGCAAGGTAACCTTCCAAGTCTTTGCAGTCTTGGATTTGCTTCACTTCCCTTAACTACTCACATCATTTCCTTGCCCTCCCCTGTTAACCAGGTAGACTCTCTGCCTCCCAGAACAGACACCTCTCACACAGCACAAGACTCTTTCCTTTTTAAACAGACAAAAGGAAAGTGGTAAGGGCAAGAACAYCATGTTAAAAAATGCACTTCTAAAGAGAGAATGAGGGGGGACAAGAGAGAAGAACGCTTTTACTAGGCAAGTACACTTTTACTTATCTGAAAACATGTTTAACTTGATAGATTGTGCACTATCCAAGTTTTCTTCTTCTACTTGCTTTCTGAGTATTCAGCATAATATTAATCCACTCATTACCTCAGAAAACAGTTTGCTGACAACCTGTGCATAGAGCAGCTCCACATTCTATTCCAAAACTTTTGGGTTTTATATGTGTATTCACACCCTGCTAAACAAATGTCATGTATATTTTGCCAGTGCTGGACCACCCATCAACAGTATTTCARTATGTTTCTTAGGCTTAACTGTACCAAAACTTAAGGTTTTCTCTGAAATCGTTAGTCAAGAATCTTTCCCAAAATTATGACATTTTTACCTATTTCCATTTCTAATTGTGACTATTTTTTTATGCTAGGATGTGCTTTACTTTTGCCTTGACTTTTTAACTACTACTCCACACAAAAAGAGAGATTAACAAAAATGTGAGGCTTCTAAAGGTGTTTTCATAGTACGAGGGAGATTATACATACAACAACCAGGAATTTAAAGCAAAAAATTACTAATAATTCATACTATCCCAGGACAGAATAAGACAGAAACTTCTATAAAACAGWTAATAAAAAAGCTGCAATAACCTAGTATCATTTGAGTGTTGTTGGGATCAGTTTCTGTCTGCAAAGCTCCTATAAGGATATTCACAAGCCTCAGCTTCAACGACAGGAATGTTACTGGCTTATCATGYGTTGAGCTGTCATCATTGCTGAATTTCCCTTCCAGGACAACCTGAAGAAAAAATACACTTATTTCAGTATCAATTAAAAGATCACATCAGCAGGGTTTCAAAAGTCAACATTCACAGCACACGTTGGTACTGAGACCTTGTAATACAGTCTTACTCTTCTAGGTTCACTGGAAGAGTTCCAGTGCTAAAGAAAACACCCAATACAAACCATTTAAATCCCACCTCCATGGAAAGAAAAATGGAAATTCAAAATATGATGAAAAATGCACTACCTCAGACTTTATTGTTCCAAAATGATGAGGGAGAGGCAACAGAGAYAGCAAGATGTTAATGGAAGCTCTTCTTAGCTCTGTGGGGTTCACATAGATTTTAAACTTTGAGAGTTCTCTGCAAATCAAAGCAYCAGACAGTTAATCAACTTTTCACAAGAATCTGGGGCCAAATTAAGTTACCCACCCAASTGCCTTAAGAAATTTACAGTTTGCAATGTAACTGTTTCTTTCTAAGATCTGTGCAAAAGAAGCTCAGATTTAATCCCAGAACATAAATAATGCTTTATGTCTAAATGCCTAACATCAAACTGAAACAGTACCAACACATAACATATACACTGAAGAAGGCATGCAGAGAGTACTATTAAGTGCCTTACTTAGCAAAACATCCAGAAGTCTATAAAGCTCTGATAATAACCTACTGCAATTTCATTGGTCTAAATTACCAGTTTTTCCATTTTATGATGTATAAGATTACTTACTTACTGAATTCACTGCAACAACCACTAATGAATACCTTGTGAAAATTTACTTTAAAATCAGGAGGCTTTCAATATATTTCAATGTTTTCCTATTCTTAAAGGCACTGCTTTCCATCAATGAATATGCAGCTAACAACTTATATATTACATTTAAAATAAGCACTATTATTGGTTTAAAGAAAATTGCACTAAGTAAAACTGAAAATTTGAGCTCACTCAGTGCTGCTATTATCACCATCAAATACACACGCACTGTGAGCCCCACCTCGCAGAATTCCTTTGGTGAAACTATGCAGGAATGACAGAAGACAAATACATCCCAACATCYCTGATGATGTTTATATGGAAAGAGCAATTTACCTGTCAGGTAAAATAGTTTCCAGAGCTGAAATGAAGTAGGGAACCACAACATCAATGCCTTTCAGGTCACAGCAGAACAGAGGAGGGGAGTTTAGAATAACACTGGCAAGAACCGGGTGGCAAACGAAATCTGCTATCTGCAAACCCTGAATTAAAAGCATGTAAAATCTGACAAAGAAAGACAAGATTCAATTATTTGCACATAAAAAGCATCAGAATCCCACACGAAAAAGAATATGCAGCTTMTATTTGATCTTGTCTATATAAAACAGAGTACACTTCAAAATCAGAGCTAGGAAACATTCATATGAGCCTTMCCACAGGCAAGCACACCTGACCAGCTTAATAAACCCTCACAAACCACAGGTATTTGATATGAAAAGYCAGTGCAGCACAGTTTTATTGAAATCTCTGACTTCTTGTAACATCTAAGTGGGAGCTGTGGAAGCACAGCCAGCTGGTTACTAACAATGCTTGGATCACCTGCTCTCCACTACTCCCTTCCCACGCAAGGGTGGGAGCAGGACCTTGATTTAACTCCCCAACACAAGAAAAATACTGGAAATCTTGGGGGTGGCAGTGGACAGGACAATGGACAGGATGTCAGGACAGAACACACTGATCAGCAATTTGGAAAACAAGACCAAACATAACCATCATAACCAATTCAAATGAAAAAGCAAGGGCAGGAAAACAACGGCCCATCAKCCTAGAGCAGTTAGCTTCTTTTGCAGCTTCTTGTTGCAGAACACTTATGCCTTCTTAGCTGTTTCAAAAGTCTTGGCCAGACAGAGGAACMCCACTGACAGGACAAGAGAAAATGAACTATCTATATACAAAATACTACAGCAATAAAGTAATAAAATTGTTCAGTCCTCCGGGAAGTTGATGCCATCTGGGACAAATGCACCCAAACAGTTTGAGAGAATCATGATTTAAAATTGATTCTCTGCCTCTAGCCTTTGYTACTTTACATAACAAAAATCTGTGACACAGATACACTATGACAGACAAAACTGCATCATTTTATCAGAAATAAAACTGAACACTGAGACAGTTCAAACACAACTGTTTCAAATATTACTGATATCGGATATTACTGGGATATACTGCATTTCAATATTACTCAGAGGGTGAACAAGAAGCAACCACAAAAATCCAAAACCAATGATATGGTATTTAACAACACAAGAACTTTTGTGGTCTAATACAGTGTACAAAGTCTTACACCTGCACACTTATTTTTTCCATCTGAACAATATTCAGCTACAAACAAAACAAAAATAAAAATAAAGGAGGCAAGAAAGTGCCAAATCAAACATTCCTTCCAGCTGAAGGCACTTTAAGGGACTCCCCTTCAAATGGAACTTGAAAAAACCGAATGAAAATCAGCATCATGAGAATGAGGGTGGAAAAGTGCTGGGCTTAGCCAGGAATCCCACCTGCAGCCTCTGAAGGCCAGCTAGGTGTTTTTAAATTGACAGCACAGGATTCAGACAGCAACTGAATGCGATTTACTGGGAATTAATCTGCATCACAAAGTTACATCAATAAAGCAACTGGAAAACAGGTTAGTACCGGGATAGGTAAGCTGGTAATATTTCCTCCCCAGTCTTCTTGCTACAAAATATCCTACACAGTGTCCCACACGCCTCTGCCCTTCCCGCTTCATAGTTGTCTGGGAATTCACTGGTATCAAACATGGGGTTGGAAGCCATAGTGTCTGTAGACATTTGGGATCCTTTCCGGCGGAACTCCACACTAGCCTGGGTCGCTATAGCTGGGAAGAGAAAAAACAGCATTTTACTGTGCATGTTAATGTACAGAATAGGCTCATGGGATCCTGGACACAAAGATCAAGTCMAATTTAGTAGTTAAAATGAAGCTATTAGTTCACTGTATTTGAGCCAGTGCCTCTGTTTAGGAAGTATTTGTGGGTATACCTAATTTGTTTTCTTCATAAGAATGACARCAACTGACCATATCCTAGAGACTGTCCCAACTTTTTGCTGGAAAGAGCATACTTATATCTTCTTACTTCCTACCCTCTCTGAAGAGCAAGKGTCTCCCTCACCTAGTTCTTGTTCCCACAAAAATGAAATGCCAGCTTGCCTTGCTCCCTTAAAAAACAAAAAAACATTCAATGGTGCCATTACAATGACCTCCACGGAAGTGCTTAACTTCCAGCTGGCCAACTCATTTCATGCCTCCCTGAACACCAAGCAGCTTTGATCCAGCAGTTTGTTTTGTGGTACAAAAATACTCATTAAAAAAAAAAAAAAAAAAATTGATCCAGCAGTTTGTTTTGTGGTACAAAAATACTCATTAAAAAAAAAAAATAAGACCCCAAATGAAAAAGAGAAGGTTGTGGAATCCCATTCTCCTAAGTTGGTCTTTCTCTCCAGACAGCAGCTACCAAGGCTGCCTGTCTCCTGCTCCCTGTCCCACAATAGCTCCATGACCCTCTCACAGCCCACTGTGACCTAAGCTGGTTCTGCCCATACTATGCTCCCTCCCCACAGCCAAGTTCTGCCAGCCCACACCACTCCAATCCATGCCTTTCTAGAGAGATTTCTGGTCTCCCTTTCACACATMAGCATCGTGTGGATATGAGACTACTCACTCTACTGGCTAAAATCCTTTCTTCCAGAATGGCTACCAAAACAAAATACATACTGCACTCAATGTGATTTTTTTTTCAATTTTTTTTCTTTTTCCTGAATAGCTTCACTCTAAGGATGACTAACATCATAAAAAATGTGTTCTTGTTTTTAGCTAAGACTAGATGGATTTCCAAAACTTTCATAAACTAGAAAAACAAACAGCAGACAATGCATGCTCCTGAGAGAATCACACCTATGTGTTTCTACCAGCAAAAGAGAACTACTTCTGTCTCAGCTTTGGGACACTGGGAAACAGCAGGTCCACAGTCAGTCTTGCAAACAAAGGCATGCAACAYTTTAGCAGTTGGAATACCCGATAATTTACAGAAAAGGTGCTTTTTCGTTTTGTTTTAAAGGAATTGTCTTAATGACAAGTGTCTACTCCTWATTTTTTTATCTTCAAATTCATCATTTAACCTATGTTTACCTTACAAATTTTCATGATGATAAGTAGCAAATAAGCACAAATCTTTATGCATCTTCCCATGAGCCATTTTTTGTCCTGAATAAGCTATCCAGCAATATACTGTAGTTGGAAAAAAACACTACATGCACAATGCATACAAATCAAACACTAGGTCTGTAAAATAAGCTTTAAGTAAAAAAAAACATGGTTAGTGCAAAGTCCTGAAATTCATGACATGATCACAGACTAAAGTACAAAAAAAGATGGGACTGATTCAGGCAGATTAATTTGCTTTTGCCAACAATCCTCCCCATTCAAAAACACACACAAAAAAATTACTTGTCTTTTTTAAGTAAAAGTGCAAAAGCTACAAGAGACAATGAGAATGAATTTACAAATAAAATATGGGATTATGGAAAAAGAAAAGCATGACTGCAATTAAGGAAAAGCTACTGGTTCCTACTTACAAGATTTATAAGAAAGAAGAATTTGGATAAAAGATGCTGCAAGATAATAGAAATAAAATGGAAACAAATCAAAGGACAGCAGTAGTTATAAAATACTTTTAAGATGATGAAATTGTAATATAAGTTAAGAAGCTTTTAGCTTTTTAAAAAATAGATTAAAAGCTTTATGATACAGCAAGCTCGTTAAACACATAGGAAATTGGCATACAGGTCCAAAATTATGGTTTTGAAAGTACCATGCAAAACAATGAACAAAAAGTTACAAAATACTAAGATTTAGAGCTGTTCATATCAACACACATCAGTTCTTTAACAGGACGTATTACCCCTTCTCAACTCCCAGACCTGTCCCCATGTCACACTGCACATGGAGCATACACCAGGCTRTCCTCAGGCTCCTGTGAATTGGGGTATGTCTTGCAGGGGGAAAGTTACTTACCAGCAGTCTCCTCARAGCAGTACTCCTGCTTCCAAACCAGGAGTTCCCGACAGTATTACAGCTCCCATTTCCCTGAGCCAAGTTTCTAACAACAAGGATACCTGAGAATGCCTCCCCTGACCACCAGCTCCATTAACAATTTTCCAAAGCAGAAACAAAAGGTASAACACTCCCAGAAATATTAACATCTCAAACAATATCCAGAGAAAGAAGAGAGTAAGGACTCCAGCAGCCAGATACTATCCAGCACCTGGGAAGAGCTACTTCTTTGAACAGACAGGGTCAGACATGTAACCAAGCCCCTCAGCAGGACCCACGATGTTGTCAGTCAGGACTGCTYAGAATTTGTTCCTAGAGCCCCAGAAATATTCTATGGGACATTAATGACAGCAGGGCTGGAAGAGGTCGGGTAATGCTATACCCCAAKGCTCCCCACTGCCAACAGCCTGTGGGTGATACCAGCAAACCCCTGAGCTATCTTCTTCAGCTGCTATAAACTGCAGAGCTGGCACCCTTTAGGCACAAGGATTGAGAATGAACCCATCAGACTGGAAAATTCAGTTGCTGAAATGCTGGCACCAAGTGCTTGCAGGCCTTTCCCCATTCTCAAAGGCTGAGGACAGCAGGTAATGTTGCATGCACTGTATGGCAAAGCTTGTCTGAAACATCCTGCCACTGCACCTGCCCTGGCACACATACACACACCATCGAGCTATCATTCTTGGGTCCACCTCATACAGGCTCCATAACCAATTTCTTATGAAGGTGTTATTTATCACAGGGATCTATTTATCCCACATTATCAGCTACATAAATACCACACACACCCATCTAATTCTAATGACTATGCCAGCAGGATCCAGCTGTTTTCAAACYACCTATGCATCTTTCAACAGGCCATTTTAACTTTCTCACAACACAGTGATGTTTATCAGCTGCCCACCATAAAGTTTCATCATCAAGGTCTGGGTGCAGAAACTAAAACTTGATAAAGACACTCAAGGCCCAGAAGCATCACACCAGTGGTGGCAAGACCAATGCTCTGCTTCAGAATCCAAACAATGACACAGGACTACTTTGAGGGAGAGGGCTCAAAAAGCAAATGGAAYGACTGCTTTCTAGGTGATAACCTCCATCAGTCAACTGCATACACGATTTCCAGCTAATCTTGAGAGAGAACAATTCTCTCTTCCCAAAGACAGACAAAACCAAAATAACCACAAAWATGGAACACCTACAATTATCCAGTCAAGGGTTGGTACAAGTTCACCCATGAAAATGACAGAAGTTGAAAAACTATGAGGCAGCAGTTAATCTGACCAAACCAGGAGGACTGAGGTTGAAGTGGCCTCTGGAGATAATCAGCCCTCTCCAGTAAGCAGGGCCAAGTAGAACAAGTTCAGGTACCCTTCTACTCATTTACATAGCTTTTCATCTCAAGATCTACAGAAAGCTGGACATTTTTCCACCTATCATTTTTCAGTACTTCCTTTCTGAAGGTTGAAGAGTTCCAGAGGTAAAACATGAGATCCCAGGACAAGGGAAAAAGGAAGGATAGGAGGGTACTCATTCACATCAGCCTTGACCAAKTGCTCTTTATTTCCTAGAGCTCATCAAAGAGGTGTGCTGTAAGATGGGAGAAAAATAATATGCTTGGCCATGTGAGTCAGYAGGAATTGTTTAAAAGAACCAAACAAAATTCTGAACTAGAGTTTGAGACCATGGCTCATCCACAGRGTCACCTGTGCAGTAGGCACTGCACTGAGCTCATGAATCTCTTTGGTAATCACATCATACRGATTCTCACTGAGACTGTGCCACTCAAGAGGAGCAAGAAATACACWCTAGAAAATGCAGCATCACAGAGGTGTCCCGGGGCATGAGGGTCTCTACAGGACAGTAAGTTGTAACTTTTGCAAAGTGGTCCTCAGTCCTCCAGCCAGCAGGTAAACAAAGAAGCCRTATCAGGCCAAAAGAGAAGGAATTCTTAACTGTGGCATTGAAACAAAGCAAACATTAGAAAGGTTTAAAGCTGCCGAAATCTTACACAGTTCTAGACCTAAAAAAAAAAATAGTGTGTGTGGGCCAGTGGAAGACCATACCACATGGCAAAGCTGATTTTAAGTGCAGACACYTTCCAATCAAATCATTTAAAGCACCCATAAAAAGAACAGTGCTTCTTGAAGCTAAAGCTAAGATTATCAACAGCAGTGTCAGACATGGTAAGAATATTCCAGCTAGTGGCTAAAGTATCACGGCTACAAAGGACAGCAGATGGACCACGGCATACAGGAACAGCCAAACCGCAACTGTAAAGTAGTAGTTTTGTACATCTTTCCTAAGGGTAGGGACTGTGGCAGCTAACTGTCCCTTCTCTGCTGGCTCTCCTCCTTCAAGCCACATCTACCCTGGGTAGTGGGAGCAGGTGGATGGGCACAATAGAAAGATCTGATTGTTACTGATGGRCCCCATTTCTGTGATGGAGCCCATCAGAACCCTCCCAGCCCATCTCATCAGCCAGCATAGCACCTCCTGCCTTATGATGCTCAAGGAGGAAAACACGTGGAGGCATCAGGCATCACAGGTCAGATTCCCAGAACAGAAACTTTCTATTTGGATTTAAAACTCATTCAAAAGACGCTGATGCTTCAAGTCAGCAGAAACTCCAGGGGATTTGCCTTTTACGTGTCTTGYTCATTTTCCCATCTGAGGCACAAGGTGAGCAAAAGGCTAAATCAGGCAACCAGAGTTTGGGGCCACTCTACAGAGTTTCAGCAGTAGGGATCCATCCTCAGGTCTTTCTCCATCAGCCAGCCCATCTTGGCATTAGCGTGACCAGCACCGCAATAACACCACCCTGCAAGGGCAGCAGACTTGACTACATTTCTGTAAGTCAAKTCTGTCTTCCAAATCACTAAAAAAGCAGTAAGGTTCCTGGGACTTCACCAACATCACTCTCAGAACCACTGCTGCTCATACACAGAAGATCGTGAGATGGTCTCACTACAGACAGCTCAAAGAGCACAGAGGAGGAACAGAACTAAGTCAATTCCAAACAGCAGTGGCCAGTTTTCAGAAAGACAGTAAATCTCTCTGTAAGGTTAGCAACACAACAGTTTTTTAGTTGCTGTTAGGTAATTGAAGAYATTGCACATATGAATAGAAGGCCCTGGAACCCCTTCAGGCAAATTAATCCTTTTGATTTTAGATGACTGTGTACTTCTGCCAGCATCACAAGATCACAACACCTCTCTTTACAGCTGACACTGTTACATAAGCAGCATCTTAGTTGACATCCTTTACAGGTTAAGCACTTCATTAAAATTGCTCAAGAAACAGGTTATGCCAAAATTAAAATTATTTAATCAATCTGAAAAGCACCAAATGCAGAAATATATTATATGCAATCCAAATAGAAAGCTTTTGTTTTGGGAATCTGATCTGCGATGCCTGGTGCCTTGCTCCTTCCTAAGCTCAGCAGTTTTCCTACTCACGAGTCATAGGTGTTTTACCAAGAAACCCCAAGTTCCTCCCACAGAAATCCACAACGAACACTTTCAAAAACCATGTACTACATACCTTTAGAAGATCCCAAATCCTAAGCCTTCACACAGGAATTTGACACAGTAAACATAGAGAATCACCAGTTTAACTGCTGCTGTCAAGTCCCACTATACATCCAATTTGCTACAACAAATGTCTTTCCCCTACTTTTCTTAGGCTGGTGAGCTACTGACAGACTGACTGATAGATAGATAACTTGGAGAAGTTAGCAGACATTTAAAATACACCAGAAACATAAAAAATGCAAGGAGTAAGAAAGATTCTTTTATGAACATTATCACCGAAAGTAAGATGAGAGCTAAAAAGCGTGTCTGAGCAGATCACTAATTCTGCTATGATATCTCAAAACATCTAACCTCTGCAGCCGAGCAAAACACCAGAGAAAAAATAAGTTTGGCAGTTAAGGGTTGAAGACAACARTGATACCAGGTCATTTAGGGAAACACACAACAACCATCTCTGATAGGCAGCAACTTCTCTAGCTATTTTAAGGACTCCTGTTTCCATAACACTCTCCAAAACCAAGGAGAAGTGCCACTTTGTGCAATATTTGGAGTGCTGTAGGACAATTTTTCAAATATTAAAGAGTCACTATAAATAGTTGCTATTAATAGAAGAYACTCAAGCACATTTCAAATTAAGAAGTACATTCCTGCCATATGATTTCCTTCACTAAATAGCATTTTCACCAGTATCATAATTAGAAGTGCCATGCACGTTAGAACAAGTGAGTATCTAATAGTAAAAAGTGGKTTTTTTTTTAAACTTTGAAATCCCCAAACACCTCCTCAGCTAATAGCAGATGATGGCTCAGCTCGAGAGTTAAACACAACAGAACACTTCAGATTTTACTTTTTTTGGATTATGCATGTGTTAATATTGCAGGTAGGAAATGTCAATAAAACAAGGAAAGTGTATTTATTTTTGTAATATTTACCAGTCATGCTGCTGTCTCTGTTTATTCCATTATGAAGTTTACAGTGAACAAATGCTGCATCAAATAACCATGATCCAAAGAGGTTCAAAATGCTGTTAACCTTTGGCCTGCGAGGAGCTGGAAGTGGCCGAGGCTCAGAGCTTGTCTGGTTTGGGCTAGAGAGTGGAGAAGTAGAGGAGGGTTGGTGCTGCACTTTTGAAGCATGTGCAGTAGTTACCTGTTTGAACAGAAGAACAGATCAGCTCCTAAAATCAAGGAAATTACTTCCTCTAACAGGAAACAATCCAAAGGGTCAGCTACTCAAACGCAGAGTATGCAATCTTACAGTGCTTGTTTTCATGGTTGCTTTGTTCACAGTCACTGCCCGATGCCTCCGGTTATGGGGTGGGGTGGTGTTGGTAGCAGTGTTCTGGGGCATGCTCAGCCTGTTCACTGGCGTGGGTGGTGCACTGTCTGACCGGGGTCGGGAAATGCCTGGAGGGCAGAAAATAAGCAGGCTTTCAGTRAGAATTCCATGGGCTCACAGCAGAGTAGGCCATTAGTAAGCATTGGAGCCTTTGGTCAATAGCCATGTTTCCTTACCTCTGTTTCCCTAAACAGCCGTAGCAAAAACACACCTCTCCCTTTTTACTATTAGCAGAAATAAATGCACAAGCAAATGTGCAGTACAATTACATCAGATAAGCAATTGATAAARAACCACCAAAGGACCGCCCACACCTTAAGGCTTTGGAAAATGATARATGGGAGGAACCAGCCTAGAAGCCAGGCAGAGGGAAAGGAGCAAGGTTCACTCGCCAAAGAGCGTTTCACAGCTCACTCCTGTCGAAATTTAGATGGCTCTCATCTTTGCCTTTCTTTCCCAATCAAACTCCCACACCTTTTACTGAGACATCCCTAAGATGGCTGGCCCTTAAAGCCACCTTAGCTCACTAAATTAAGATGAAAACCATCCACCATACAGCTTTTTGCTGGCTTTGTGCTGAATCAGCCACTGAACAGTCAAATATTAAGGCAGTACACATGAAAGTAAAAAAGCAGAGCAAGCTATAATTTTTCTGGCAGCGGTAGGACATTAGATCAGTTTTTATCCTGCTTCAGGGAAACTCACAGTGTACAGAGCTRTTCTCAGTCAGACTCAAAAGCAACTCAACATCTGCAAAACGTGAAGCGACAAACACCACCTCTGCCCATTTTAATGAACACCAATACCCTTGCAATCCATTTGAAAAATGAAGCAGGGAACTGGAATGTGGTTGAGAATTCGACACAGGTTTTTTTACCATGTTAATTAAAGCACCCAAGCACTTTTCACATCACATTACAGAACAACTTGCTCCTGCTAAGCCATCAGYGTTACACCTCAGGCAGAGTATGCACTATGAAACCTACTGTTTTGGTACATTTGGCTGGAAAAGAGGGTGCAGTATTTTACCAAACACATCATGTACGTACCAGGGAGGGCAACATAAAACCCAGTGCTTTAGCACTCAAGACAGAAGGCAATGAGCTCTCCCACCAGCCATCACTGAAGGGGTTTCTGTGGCTCTCAACTCTGCCTGAGCACACTCTCCCAATCCATACCTACAGCCTGAATTTAATTTCACTGAGAACTGTCCTGTGCCCAAGTGCATCATACTCTCAGTCTCTGCACTCCAGGTGGGCTATTATCATCCTGGGTGCTTCACCTTGCTACGAGATCTTTGGAAGTCCCAAGTGTCTGATTCATAAAACCACAGAATAGTCTGGGTTCAAAGGGACCTTAAAGACCTTCCATTCCACCCCCTGTCACAGGCAGGGACACCTTCCACTAGACCACKTTCTTYTAAGTCCCATCCAATCTGGTCTTGGACACTTCCAGGGATGAGGCAGCCACAGCTTCTCTGGGCAGTCTGAGGCAGAGCCTCAGCATCCTCRCATGGAAYAATTCCTTCCCAATGTCTAATTGAACCCTGCCTTCTGCATCCCTAGAGCCTGCTCTTCTCCAGGCTRACAGTCTCATTCCACAGGCAGCCTTTCTTCTAATATTGTTTATGTATCCACTCGAGTGTCCTGCAGTCTCACATCAGCTCACACTTATGGCAGATGACATTTGTTTACACACATTTAAGCAGAAAAGCAGCTGGAGACAGGCAGCTCTTCYGAGTTTACAGTAGCATGATTTCCCTGAACAACTTTCAAGAAGTCTGAAGCGTACTAAGCATAACACTTTAAATTTCAGGTACTCCATCCTGTTACTTAAAACTGACCAATCAATGCTTACATCTGCTTTACTTTTCATTCTAATCTGAGCTACTCCGTTACCAGCAGATACAAAGAACCACAACTTTTCTACTCAACAGTAGTAGTCACCCACTAACTGTAAAGTGAAATTCTCACAAAGGTATGAAGATGACAGTCCAGATTCAACACCTTATTCAGATTCAACACCTGCTTCAAACAGCAGTTGCCACAAATACTAAAAACACACTGGCTCACAACATGCTAAAGCATAGCACTTACATTGGTGATTAAATGGAAAAGAAGGCTTGTTTGGGAAAGAGATCYCTGGTTTCATTTTAGATTTCTGATTTACTTTGCATTTGAAACTAAAGCTATCTACAACTTCATGCATTCAAATGTTACTGTGTGCATACAGGTTTTTTTAGAACTTATCTGAGATCCCCTCCTTATCAATTCCAGGATATACCTGCAAAGGCTGAATTGTTATTGCTGTATTTATGGAGAACATAGATATAAAGAGAATAAAATAATGACTAATTAGTATTCCTAGCTATCTATGGGCAAGACAAAAGCATTACCTAGGAATGCATCCACTAAACAGCTGATTCCACGCATGGCACGGAAGAATATTTGAGGCAGATGTTTAAGGCAGGGGTACTGATTCAGTTCTTGAGTCATCCCACTCACATTCAGAAACTGCTCCTGAAATTTGGGGGTAGAGCTAATAATGGCTGGGTTACTCAAATCCACAGGATTACTGCACACAAAAAGAGCAAAATATACATTAGTCAGTTCAATAACAGCTGTCAAGATTCTAAAATTACCTGAAGATGCAATAGTTTAAGGCATTTAAATAACACCACAATCCAGCACCCAACATCAACACATTTTAGCTGTTACTCCAGCRCAGGAAGGCAATTTTCATTTCCGTGGCTGGCAGTATTTAACTGCCTTCCTTTCAGACATGACCCAWACACACTGAATAATTTTAGTAAAATAAAACAAACCAGAGCATACACTTTCTAGACGAATTATTGCAGTAATATTAATTACTTATGAGATCTTTCAAACCCAGTTAAGAGTTCCTTACATTGTTGAAGTTATTCTAGAAAGGTAAGCAACAAATTAAATATTGTCAAACAGTGACAAGAAGGGGAGTGGACTGTAAAAGTCTGAGCAATTTTTCCTGACTGACTCAAATCCTGAAACAGGAAATCTGAAAATTCAAATTTGGAGACTACAGTACTGGTGATAYTAGTACTACAAATGAAGAAAAAAAATTTTTAGTTACTTAAGAAATACACTTTTAATAGTCTAACATTTATCTAGCTTTAACTACTAAATAGCATTTAATATGAATTGTTTAATATTCTGGCCACATAATATCATGTCCAAAAATCTTTAAAACAAAACAGAGCACTTGGTTCAGTTGTACATTTAAAAGATTAACACATCTGTTAAAATTAACTGTATAGATTTCTTCATAAAATTAAAGAGAAACACCATTTTAAAAATAAACTTTTGAAGGCTAAATTAAATACCCTGGGGAACAAATGGAAGTCGTATACATCTCTCAGAACTATTGTTCTGCTTTTCCTGTTTGCTATCTCAGAGAAACAAAATTCTATTCAACTCCTGTTATTCAGATCCTACAAAATGCCAAATAGCTAAAATAGCTTTTAATTAACTGATACCCCCAGTTTACACTTTGAAAGAGTCAGAACTCAAAGTTGAACAACACCACTCAAGGACTGCCCTGAACTGTTGTAGGGCACTGGCACAACAACTCTTATTTTATTCTGTTTAGGTGCTCAATCTTGGCAACCTCCAGAGAAATGTTTCATTTGTCATGCAAATGTATAGAGCTGATGCAAGGATAGGAACAATGGATGACTGTAATTACAATACCTCAGCATATGTAAAAAGCGAAACCAAGTTTGTGCAACGCACTCATTATCCATTTCAAGAGGAATCAGACCAGCATCTTCATCAGGAATTTTAAATGGAGGAAATGAAGGTCCATATGTAAAACGCAGCAACCTAGAAAGCAAGTCAGACCTCTCCTTCAGCTCAYACTCCAAAGTTATTTGAGCCCCAAAGTTATCAACAGCCCACAGGTGAGCACACAGACAACAATTCAACATTCCAAGTTTTCCTAGAGATCCCCATTTTATCCAATCACTCAACCCTCTTGCAGCTTTGGATGGGGCACTCCTAGATCCTTCCTAAAGCTCCAGCCAAACCCAAGAGCTGTTAAGATGTAACACCCCTCAGCAGCTCTCCTGTCCCTTAGCCAGAGGGGTCACCAATTATCACAGCCACAAGCACATCTGACAGCATATTACATGAGAAGGAAGAGGGGAAAAATTAAAAATAAAAAATAAGGAATTTAAGCCTTTACCCTCAGAGCTCTTTAGCTCAAGCATTTAATGACACTATCAAGTCATATTAGGTTACAGTTCTCAATTCCAGCTCATGACTGTTGACTGTACTGTAGCTCAKCAYCCTGAGCAGCACTCACAGTTGACCKACAWGCCATACAGGACCTGTAACCCACAATTTAGTGAGTTCTTCAAAACAGATGCACCACATCTGCCAGAGGCTGGGAGCTACAGACCAGCAAAGAGCAAACCCTCAGAGGGTCTCACAGTGATCCAGTGCCATGAGAACAATGCTTGGACAAAAGCAGACCTTTCTCTAGAAGAGCTGTAACTACCTGAAGAGTCACCAGTGACCTACAGTGAGCTCCTGCTATCTAACCTGACCCCTGCTTCATAGCCAGCTTCAMCAAAYTACARTTTAATTTCCCTGATCAATATAGAYTTGATGTTCTCYAAAGGAATGGAAGAGATAAGCATTGCACCTTCTCAATATCCCAGCATTCCCAGAAATCAGTCTGTGTGTCTTCCCTAAGCTAACTTCCTTGTAATGGTCAAGAAATGTCCCATACATCCTTGCTCACTTACAAAGCCATGTAGTTTTATAGAGATAAAGTCATTATAACTAGGAGGAGGAGAGAAGTAGTTCTATGGCTGACTCCTAAACCAAGAATTAAACAGGCTGAATTTCCATCTTCCACTTCTCACAGCACTGGGCACTACAGTAACCTGCAGCCAATTAACACAAGTGTCTGAATCATAGCCTGTTAATWGTACCTGGCCTGGATAGAAAAGCAAAAGAGCTTTAAGACATGAGGCCTCCTCCAGATGCAAAGATGATGAAGAATCCATTCAGTGCAGGAGCTGGTGGTGCAGCTGCAGTGACAGCTGCAGACTGAGCTCCCTGAAGGGAGTCTGGGTCAAGAGCCTGGGAACTGCTGAGCCTSTGCAAAACAAAGGGTATGGGACCTGTGGCCCAGCCAGGTGCTCAGACACTCAGAGACACTGCAGGAGCTGAGGACTAGGGAGGAAGAGCTGAGACTTACACGGGCTTGGACTGATCCCTTGGACTGTGAGGGGRTAACAGCCTGGGAGTCTTTTTTTTGGAGCTGCTCCTTGGAGACACCAACTCAAGCTGTTTCTGACTTACTGTGCCAGGAATAAATGGCTTTATGGAACAAGACATCTGAGACTCTCATGGGAAGCCTGGGGCCAAATCAGTGAGGAAACCTCACTGACAGTGACAGTGGGGAGTGCAGGAGTCGAGCAGGACACTCCTTGGCTCACTGGAGCTGCTGCTGCAAAGGGGCTTCAGTCCCAGCAGTTGAAGGTGCTGCTTGTGGGAGAGCGACTGCCAGAGAGTCTTGGGAATGGTCAGACTGGGAAGTTTCCTTAATACCAGAAATACACACATCTGTATCAGGTAGTAAATACTCTCCAGCCCCGTGTCCATCTACATTTAGTACCCAGAGGCATGATACCATGGTAGGTTTTTGCTGAGGAATTACCTGGCTCTGAAAGACCCAAAAGAGCCTAGCCCAACCCTATGCATGGTCATGCTCCACACCATTGCCTGGCAATGCAGCACACTGCTTCAGTTCTCCCTATGATTGCARGAAACCAGTTTTTCAAAGAGTATGGCCAAATCTTTAATGAAAAATGGTACATTTTCAAGAATGATGGAAGACAAATTTTAAGCCACACATCCAAGACAGATAAAATATACTTAAAGCAACCTTGATGGGTTAAAAGTTCTATCTATTGGTATGGGTTAAAAGTAGTATCTATTGGTATGACAACACAATCAAGACTCCAGTTTCATCCTGATATGAAATCATAGCTAAAGACACAAATTAAGAYTGCATATGTATACAGATTTCCAAATGCAATTTTCCATATGGTTTTAATTTCAAACATTTACTTTTWGCTTATTGCTAATAACTCAATTCACACTGTTTTCTAAAAAACCATTTACTAAAACATTAACTCTTTGAAGCTGGAGCTTAACTGAAATATTAAAAATGCAACTTAAAATACCACTGAACTTAAAGCCAGCCTCAGAGGAGCCTAATTTTCCATGTATCAGGCATAAACCAACATTACTGAACACAGATTAAAACATTCAAGAAATCCTGCAAATTCTTGTGCACCAACAGAACCAAGACTGTTAGTCAACAGTGAAAGTGTAGGCACAGTGCATGGTGCAGAACACTAACACATGTTTTGAGACAGAACTGTTCTTTTCAGATCAGTGAATCATAAAGTATTTTCTGTTGCGTAACACTACATCTAACAAGCTAAAAATAGCTAAAGAAATAGYGTGGGAAATACACAGAACTCGTATTGCAGCTTTATTTCCCACAGGTTTAACAAGTAGCTGCATAACCTGGAAAAACCCATCCACACTTCACATTTTGAGAGGTAACTCAAAGCAAAAGTTTTCAGAGTTAAAATAAACACATGCAGAAAAATACACTATTGAGTATTTCACAATGCAGCAATTTTAATGCATCTTTGAACTTTCACAGAAATGTTACTGGTATTTCAGAAGAGCTGGGATAAGACCCAGATCCTCTTACCAGCAATTAATTCAGTTCTTTCCTCCAAGAGGCTGAGATTTGTCCCACCAAGACTTCATACCAAAAAGACCTCAACATTAAGGGCAATGAGACTCCCCTCACTATTTAGAGCCTTCTACTACAGCTGAAACTCTCCTGCAACCCCTAGATGTGTGTTTCCTCAGTCAGTTTGCAGGTGACACTGAGGTGGGCAGTTGAACTGCTGGAGGGCAGGAAGGATCTCTAAAGGGAACTGGACATGCTGGATTAAGAGGCTGAAGCCACTCTATGAGGTTCAACAAGGCAAAGTGATTGGTCACAATAACCATGCACAGAGCTACAGGCTTGGGGCAGTGGCTGGGAAGTGCCCAGCAGGAAAGGCCCTGGGGGTGCTGATCRACAGCAGCTGAACAAGTGCCAGCTGTGCCCAGGTGGGCAAGAGGCCAAGGGCACCTGGCCTGTAGCAGCCATGGTGTGGCAGCAGGATCAGAACAGTGACTGTCCTAGTGAGGCACTTCCAAATCTCATGACAAGAAGGACATTGAGGGGATGGGAGAATATCYAGAGAAAGGAATGGAGGTGGGGAAAAGAATGGAGTACCAGGAGTAGCTAAGAAAGCCTGGGGGGTTTAAGCCAGAAGAAAAGAAGGCTCAGGGGTGACCTCAYTCTCTACAACTACATGRAAGGAGATTGGAGSCACCAGAGGGCTGGCCTCTTCTCCTAGGCAGCAAGGGACAGGACATGGRGAARTGGCCTCAAGTTGTGCCRGGG